GTAATTCTTGTTACATGCAATGCCCACTAATATTTTCCGTCATTTCTTTCTCCTTTTGGAAATCACATTTCAGGAGCTGTTTCAATTAATGTAGGCAAGCAAAGATGGGGAGCTAAACTGTTTACACCTGAATATGAGTGTGTCGGCCCCTCATATTCTCCCTGATGTGCTAGATGAATAAATAAATGAGAGTGATCTCCTTTCCGAGAAGCAGAAGAGCCTATTCTAGTTCTTCTGCTAAGGAGCAGTTAATTCTTATACTCTCTGTGCATGATTTCCATTGTCTCTTGTCTCAAGTAAGAGGTTGTAATACCATCGAGGACAGAAAGTAAGTCAGATTTTTATTGTTGTTGTTCATCAGGACAGCACTTGGCATATTGGTGGACACATTGTAGGCACTTCAAACACACTGGTTGCATTCCACTGAATTGATGATTCTTCATCCATTGCAAGGCAAAGAAGTTTAGCAGGCTGAGAAACAGTAGTACGCTTCGCCTAAGTATTGTGCACACCCCAGCAGGTGATCAGTCACCTGGAAAATATCTCCTACTCCTGTGCTCATTGTCTCATCACAGAGAGGAACCCCTGGACTTCCTGCTGCTTAATCTCCAGCAGTCAAACCTCCCAGAGGGTGAAGTCCAAGACTGCCACTGACGGATGTTTGCATCCTTGTATTCTTTCTGCAAAGATCTCTACTGTCTTTATGTCCCTCCCAGAGCTGCCATCTGCTTTCACTTCTGAGGTCTTTTTACAGGACTGGATCCAAAATGGGACGCAGTCTCAACTCCCCCACTCTTTATGATCTCTGAAAAAGAGGTCTTGAGCTTTTTTGGCTTAAGGGCTTCACTACTCAACAGAGAGCAAGCAACAAACCATCAAGCTTGAGTGTCACAAGAACAAGTGCCAGAATCTCACAACATTTTTTTCTAGTGCCTAGAGCAGTCTGTTGGTGACCCCCATCCCTTCCTGGGGGTAAATTTCTGCCTCCCTCCCCCCACTTTTCTCCAGATTAGGTGTTCCACTTCCTGCTTGCAGGTCTGAAGGCACAATTAATAGCTGAACAATAAATGAGTTAGTCATCCTCCAAGTGTTGAAGTCTCAATGGCCAGAGCATTCCAGAAAAGTGACTATCAGCGTTTCCTCTTCTCCACACAGGAAATAAACGACCTCAGCCCTCTCCCTCACAGTTACTCATGTGCCACAACTTCTCAAAAATTGTGAAAGGACTGTCTGGGCTCAGACCTAGTTTGTGGCGACATGGCTAAACATACCAAGAAGGTCAGTAATTATGGGATCCGTTATGGTGCCTCCCTCAGGAAATGGTGAAGAAGACTGAAGTAAGCCAGCAGGCCAAGCACGCTTGCCCTTTCTGCGGCAAAACCAAGATGAAAAGACAAGCTGTGGGGATCTGGCATTGCAGTTTGTGCATGAAAACGATAGGCAGTGGTCCCTGGACATACAAAACCACTTCTGCGGTCACAGTCAAGTCAGCCATCAGACAACTGAAGAAGTTGGAAGACCAGTAGGAATTCTACCATTTGAAACATTGTTAGCTAGCCTATAATAAACGGGAAATTCACATAACAAAATTACTTTGGCTTGTTGTTAAATTTATTAACTAGATGTTCCAATTTTTGTTGCATTAATCTTGCTTTCTCAAAAGACTTGGAAATTTAAAATCCTTCTAATTTTTATTGGAAAGAAAACTGTGGAAGGAAGCTGAGGTGTGGTGCACAGCACCCTTTACTAGCATCTATTCTCTCAGACAGTGTAGACCGGCAATTCCGGTTGCTAGTCTGAAAAGTCTAGGATGTCAAGGTTGTGTTGACTAGTGTTATTCAAATGCCATGATGGGAAATTGTAGGGACCAAAGGCCCTGGCAAAAGAAAGAAGGTTTCCAGGACCCAGGGGGTGGGGGGTGAGGGGGCTGCCTAGCTTCAAGGTGGCATCAATGATGATTAATTCAAGCCTTACATTTCTAGAACCTTGTCTTCTTCTGTGGGATTACTCTCAAGACTCCCTGTCAAAAACTGGAGGGTTATAAATAAAGCGCATCTGCACCTGCTTGGAGTGTTGGAAAATAACTTCCAGAAAAGTGGTAACAGTCCTTATCTGTTGGTGGTGGGAGCACAGTTGGTTCTCCTTTTCATCCTTCTGTTTGTCTGTACATCTGACTTTTTAACCTAAATAAATGAATACTGACAGGGTTTGTAATAAGGGGACAAAATCAAAATTATTGTTCAGAAGGAAGTATGTCCCACTGTTTCCATATACTTTGCACATACTGACATTCTATTGTTTATATTGAAAAGATAATCTTTTTTTTTTTTTTTAATTTCTGAAAAGGAACATCTATTAGGGAGACCATAGCCCAGGTTTCGGCAACATAGCATCTTGATTTATAATCTTAGCTCCTTGCCTTATTACGCTGGAATGACCTTGCAAAATGTACTTTACTTGTCTGAGCCCGAGTGTCTTCACCTATAGAGGGGCATGATATCCTCTTCACGGAAGATGAGGAGCATTTAAAGTCCTCTTTGCAGGGCGCCTGGGTGGCTCAGTCGGTTAAACGTCTGACTTTGGCTCAGGTCATGATCTCACGGTTTGTGGGTTTAAGCCCTGTATCGGGCTCTGTGCTGTGTGCAGCCTGCTTGAGATTGTCTCTCTCCCTCCTTCTCTGTGTCTACCCCCACTTGTGTGCTACAAATAAATAAACAAACTTGAAAAAAATAATAATAATTCTGATTTTATCCTTTAAAAAATTTTTGTAGGTCTGGGCCCAGTGATACGCAATGAGGCCATCAAATTGTTATTTTCGTATTGAGGAAAACAGAAGCTCTTTTGGATAATTCTTTTGCATTCCAGGCTTTCAGTGGAAACAAAAAGACACACACTGTAGACCATTAAGTACTTGTGAGACATGATTTTAGGATGCAACTCAATTATACAGTGATTACGAAGAGCCTGGGGGAAATATTTCCTTATCTGGGTAGTGACATTGACAGATTAAAGGTGCACAAATTCTAAATGCTGTTTGTTCCAGCCCTGTGTTCGATTGCAACAATGTGAGTGTCTTGCCTGTGTTGGTGGATTATTAACAGAGGTTATTGGTCTCCATGGCAAAATTATTGCTCTGCGCATAATCTCATTTATGGAGTGCAGGAAAAAAAAAAGGACTTCAGGTCAGGGAGAATGTATAAATGTCCATCGTCATCAAGGGTGTGCTACATCTGAGAAGCAGAAGCAACTCCAAGGACACAGCTCACAGGCTGATTTGGCTCTCAGCTCCAAAATACGGATTGAACTGGGGACATTTACAAGGACGCTCCGGCTGATAACTTTGAAGAGACCCCTTTGAAGGAGGCGCTGAAGAGCCTTGTATCGCAGACCTGTATTGTGCTTCCCCAATATGTGCACGGGGGGCTGCGCCAAGTGCCTGGGGGGCACCCTCATCCCCCTCGCCTTGTTTGGCTTCCTGGCTAACATCCTGTTATTCTTCCCTGGAGGAAAAGTGATAGACAATAACGACCACCTTTCTGAAGAGGTCTGGTTTTTCGGAGGAATATTAGGAAGCGGGGTCTTGGTGAGTAGGGAAGCCTTAAAATCCCCCCAGAGAGTTCTGTCGAATCCTTTTAAAATTGGGTACTTTTGAACAAGAAGATATTTCATTGCTAACAAAAGCCCAAGCATTGCATGATGAAAAGTCAGTGTCTTAATGATTTCCCTTCTCCATTAGGACCTGACGAGAGCATGTCCACTAAATTTAATAAGTAATGAATTCCCAAGATTGGGCTGGCAGTTCTCATGGGTCAATCGAATTCCACGAACCAGACTGAGGGCTGCCAAATTTCTGTATTTAAAAAAAAATTTTTTTTCAATGTTTATTTAGTTTTGAGAGACAGAAACAGAGCACGAGTGGGGGAGGGGCAGAGATAGAGGGAGACACAGAATCCGAAGCAGGTTCCAGGCTCTGAGCTGTCAGCACAGAGCCCGGCGCAGGGCTCAAACTCACGAACCGCGAGATCATGACCTGAGCCGCCCAGGCACCCCCTGATTTCTATATGCTAACAAGATAGTGCTGGGGGTTGTAGACACACACTTTCTGGCAAACTGATTGACTGAAAACCACCAAAAGAAGCAGGTGTTGGTGGATTCCTCTTCCGCTCATTCACTAATGATACATTTACCCCTTGTTTCCAGTAGAGGATGGGAACCTCCAATTTAGAGAGAGAGAGAGAGAGAGAGAGAGAGAGAGAGAGACTAGACTCACTTTTCAAAACGATTGCAGACAAGTTTCTTATCGCTATCCTAACCTACCACGTAAATGGAAACTCAGGGTGTCAGGTCCTGAAGCCTTGCCTCACTGAAGCTGCAATTAGGTCTCATGGAAACTAGACAGTAATACTCAGTTAATACTCCATCTACTGCACCAGCCATGCTCTGTAAGTTCTCGCCATGCCCTTAGCCCCTGAGTCCCGCATCACGGACATAGCTCCACTCACAGCCAGGCAGGCACAGGCTCCCATTTCTCATGTCAGACCCAGTCTGAGGTGCTTCTCTTGCTGACAGATGATTTTCCCTGCGCTGGTGTTCTTGGGCCTGAAGAACAATGACTGCTGTGGATGCTGCGGCAACGAGAGCTGTGGGAAGCGATTCGCGGTAAGTTAACCCAGAAGGTGGCTGCCAGAATGAGTCCAGGGTGCACTGTCTTCTTGTGCTTGGCATGGTGGGGATGGGGATGAATCACGAGCCCCAGGCAGGACTCTGGAGGCAGCTGGCACATACCTAAATATGGATTTCTTGCTGGTGCAAAATAACAATAATAATGCAATTTTAAACACTAAAAAGCCCCGATACTTATAGGACATGAGTATCATCTTAGATTTTGTAAAGAGGCAGGGATGTCACAGCTAGATAACTGGAGTGGGGCCATGTAAAGAATGCAGGTGCCTGGGTGGCTCAGTCAGGTATCTGACTCTTGGTTTCGGCTCAGGTGATGATCTCACAGTTCATGGGATCAAGCCCTGAGACAGGCTCCATGCTGACAACGTGGAGAGTGCTTGGGATTCTTTCTCTCCCTCTCTCTGCACCCCCCCCAAATAAATTAATAGACTTATAAAAAAAAAAGAATGGCAGGCATGGAAGGCAGGAATGGGGGCTGTAAGTCTCCCCTCTGCCACTGAGAGGCCTTGAGATCGTGGGCAAGTCTTTTCCCTTCTCTGGCCTGCATTGTCTCATCTGTAAAGGGAGTTAGGGCAGCATAAGGGCTCCCCAACAGCCCTCTAAATTCCCCATCTACACCGCTGCCAGTTTCACTGCCTCCGTGCCCAGTACTTCCCCACTTCCGCCCAGACGTTGTTGACTCAGGACTTCTATCTCCTTTCTTGTTTCGTGCAGTCAAGCATCTTTCAGTAGATGAGCTAGAGAGATTAGGCATCACCACTCCAGCCTGGGAAGTGGGGTTGAGTCCCATCCCTGCACCTGGACAAGTCACTGTACTGCCCTCTGCCTCCCTCTGCTCATCTGTACAATGAAGATGTTGAACTAGATCAGAGTTTCCCAAGTATGGGACAGGCTCTGCTGGCAGTCAGGTGGGCTGTATCTTTCAATAGCATAGAAAGTTATTCCCTTGTCAATTCTCCTTCAGTCCTTTTGATTTTATCAAGAGAATATTCAATTTTGATTGGAAAGAGGTCTTTGCCATCCAAACCCTCATAATCCCCCTTTTTAACAAAGGGAGAACAAACGGGCACCTGGGTGGCTCAGTCAGTTAAGCGTCTGACTCTTGACTTCGGCTCAGGTCATGATCTCACAGTTCGTGGTATCTAGCCCCACATCAGGCTCTGCGCTGACAGTGCAGAGCCTGCTTGAGATTCTCTCTCTCTGCCCCTCCCCCACTGTCTCTCATGCACACTTCCTCTTTCTCTCAAGATAAACAAATAAACTTTAAAAAGCAAAAAACAAAGGGGGAATAAGTTTCAGGCTCCAGGAACACAAGCAACAAGAACTAAAAGTTCGAAACTACTGCACTGTCTTTGCTAATGATTCTAGCTCTTCACTCCGAGTGGTGATATAAATCAATGCAACAGAGAGTTGTCTTAAAGAAAAATATCAAGAGCACAGGTACACTGATATGGCAAAAACAAAGAAGGTCAAACTGGAATTACTGGCTGGCTGATGAGTCAGGACGGTTCCTGCCCTTGTTGCCCCCCTGAAGTTCAACTGTCCTTCTAACAGGGTCATGAACCCCAAATGATGAATTATTCAAGCTTAACTTAACTTCTTAAAGGAAAAGTATAGCCATCTGTTCCCAAATAGAATCTTTTCTAACATTTCTTCCCCATTATTATTTGCTCTTTTATTTAATCAAAAAATATTCACTGAGCACATATGAAGGGCTGAGGCTGGTATACTGTGCATACAATATGGTTTTCTGCGTGCAAAGATCATTCAAAGAGAATGTTCTTACCTTCTAAACACCATCACGAGTCCCAAGTAAGCACGGATCATTTTTTTGGGCATTGATTATTATAACATTTAAAATCATCATTTACAAAGAGATGTAAACATTAACCATGATTTATTTGATATAGTTGTATAACACGTGTTTTACACATGTATATCTTTATATAATTAATTATAAGGGAAATGAAGAATTATGTAACTCATTTGCCCTTTGAATGTAATCCTGTTATACCTTGTGGATTTTTGGAGAATAAGCTGAAGATAAGAATTTGAAAAAGAACTGGCAATTAAGAAACTGGATGAAAATTAAAAAAGAGTCATCGCTTAGAAACCTAACAGCTCATTCTCTGGTATTGAGTAGAAGGCTGAAGATTACCCAGTATTAAAACAAGGGTTTTGTTTGTTTACTTTTTGTTTTTAGGTTTATATATAACCACAGTGAAAAGTGAAATAATACTCAAAGTATTGTGCAAACCTTGTTTTTCAAATAGACTTAAACGAAGTCCAAAAGAAAGGGAGAAAAGTCATATTTTTACAAGCACAGTTGCATTAATAAAACCTGAAACATTTGGTCTGCCCAATTCAGGCTGTCTGTCTGAGCTCCCCAACCAACTCCCCCACCCACGAAGGATCTGCCCTTGGTGTGGGTTGAGGATGACTCCTCCAAATGACTGGCCAATAGTCCACAAGGGCAGTGCCCAGCAAAGGACCAGCTCTGCCAGACTGTCAGCCAAGACAACCAGCCACGGCCACCCTGGACCAGGGATGCAGGGACAGCCACCTCTAGGTGGCCAGCAAAATTTCTTTCCTTTTCTTTTTTTTTTCTTTTGTTTTGGTTCTTAATCAGTTGCCAGCTTTTGAAAATAGAGATATTACGGAAGTATTTAGATATCCTACTTCTTTTTCAAAAAATAAAAAGATGAATGAACCTGATACTTGTGGGCCTGCATTTTGACACAATGATGGCCTACAGTGGGCATGGCGGAGTGTTTCCTATAGGGTCCTCCAAGGGTTCTTGAGTTCATGCCTCTGTTTCAGAGCTCTGTTTCCTTCATGTTCTCAGGCTCTGGAGCACCAAGCAATAATCATTTTTAAAGAAAGGAATCTAAAACATTTTGTCAGAGAAAAAGGAAAAGGCTGCAGCATACTTGGATTAGTACTATAATGCTGAAGATTCAAATTATTTTTCCAAAGGCTCACAGCATTCCCCGCCAGACATTTAAGGGACACTAGGCTTCTGCAGAACACTGTTTAAGAAATCCAGCTAGGTATAGGGGCGCCTGGGTGGCTCAGTCGGTTAAGCATCTGACTTCGGCTCAGGTCATGATCTCGCGGTCCGTGGGTTCGAGCCC